AAGCAAAAAAGTTAAAATGTATTATCAAAACGCTATTAAATTGTTTCCCATTTGTAATTAATAGTGTGTAGTGTGCATTTTATGTTGCAGATGTGTAGTGATAGGTTGCTAGTGTATAGGCTCTAGTTGTAGGTTGGTAGTGTGCATTGTTATGGTGCTAGTGTGTAGTTGTAGACTGCAAGTATGTAGTTGTGTGTATAGATTTGTGTTTGGGGTTTGATGTTAGAGACTAGGTTTTTAAGCATTGGGACGGGAGGGTGGGGGGGGGGGGGTAATTACCCAGGCATAATTGACAGGGTGGGGGAGTAATTTCTCCGGGAAATTGATGGGGGAATTCCGGGAGGGTAATTGACGGTGTGGGATGTTATGTCCTACTACCGTCAGCAACAATGATAAAAGGGCAAGTATTAAATATTTGGTGTATTAGTATGCTCAGCACATTTAAGATATCACAGCTGTAGTAATTACTAGCAACGCGACATTAGACAAAATGACGATGTTAAGTTTAAGTAGACGATACTCTGTTAACGAACACACACGATTTAAAATATACTTGATATCTAGAGCTTGTGTGAGATATTTTTTCTTAAAATCTAATAAGAAAAAAATTAATCGACTCTGAGATGTAGTATAATAGATATAGCATATGTCAAGTGTAGGTTTTATCAAATTTTTATACATACAGGATCTCCGGTGCTTGGGAGTACATTCTTTTTATGAACGATAATGTAAGAACACTGTGTACGACACATTTCGTGCTCAGCAAGGCATCTTGTTTGTAGCAATAACTATTGAGAAAACCGGTTCGTTTATGTATGTCAGCTATTTCAAACTTAACAGTAACAGTAGCCTGCCGACCACCGATGCGTAAAGTAGTGTGAAGTCATCATTAAACATCGGCTGCGGGTTCGTGGGGGTCAAAGTGGGAAATCATGCGAAACGGTTTTTGATTGGATTATAATGTTTGAATCTTGGTGGAGATCGCAATTATATAAAAAAATTGTCAGATACTTAAATGAAATAGAGCAATAAAGGTATTTGCAAGAGAGATATTCATAATATTGGCCTCTGTATATATATATATATATATATATATATATATATATATATATATATATATATATATATATATATATATATATATATATATATATATATATATAATCCGGCATTTCATAAATAGCTTAGGCATTAATTAAGAAGAATGCATAAAACAGGCTTAAGGACGTGTACTTTCCAAAGTAGTTTCGTTACATACACACAAGAAAAACCTGCATTACATTTAACATTTCACCAATCCCTTTCCTTTTGTGAATGAGGCCAATTAGTTGTTTATCGGTGGGTGGCGGAGGGAGGGAATGTCTTCTTTCATGTTTTTTTGAAAGAGGGGGATATCGGATAGGGAATATAAACAGGAAGAAATTGACAGTGGGTTATTAATCTAAATTGGGAAATGACTAAAGAGAAAAAAAATGTTCCGCACCCTTTATTGGCAGGTATATATTACTACTTCTAACTTCAAATTATAAAGATGTCTTACAATTTTTTAAGTGGATACCCTAAAAATAGTCTACTTGGTGAGTGGATTCATAAACGACGGAGATTGCTTAAAAGAGGTAGAGGGATAACAATTGCCCTTCCGATAAATTTAGATATAGGAAAATACGAATTAGGAAATAAAATCCTACCACTTATCTTAGTTGGACTCTACAGGGCAAGAAAAACGATAGGCCAAAAGGAAAGAGAGACGATCAATGGAGTAATTTAGTTTAATCCTCATCACTCGCTGTGGAGTATAGGGCAGCAACAAATCTCCGCCATTCCACCCTGTCTTGGGCGAGCCATTTTAGTTCATGCCAGGTCTTGCCAGTAGCCTGCACTTCTTCTTCCATATCTCTCCTCCATGTTCCCAGTTGTGCTTTTACTCTATTTCGCTTTCCAAGCGGCGTCCACTTCAGCGCCATGTTGGGGAGTCTTCTTTTGCTCATGCGTAGGACATGGCCCAGCCATCTCCATCTCCTCAATCGAACTTCTGAAACAATGTCGTTTAATCCTGTCCTTCGCCATATTTCCTTGTTCGGGACTTTGTCATCCCACTTTATTCTAAGGATGCGTTGGAGGGATCTTCTTTCAAAGTCTCTCGGCTCTCTCCTTTCTTGTTTAGTTTCCATGACTCTGCAGCATAGAGGAGTACAGAACGTACATTAGACTTGTAGATCCTTATTTTAGTTCTCTGCTGCAGTGAGAATGATTTCCTTGGAGTAAAAGGTGATCGCAAACGTTTCAGTTGGTAGATATATTGATAGATACTGTACATACATCGCTCACTAGATGCCTCTTCTTCCACTAATGGAGAGACGATGAAAAGGATTTATATGAGGCTTTCTTTATATCACTATCAAGCGGCAATATCATTTCGTAAGCTGTTTAAAAAAAAATGTTAACCCAACCATTGCAAAACGTTCAACCATTAAAATAACGTTAACTATCCTACCATTGTAACGACGTTTTAGGAACTAACCATTAAAACACTATTCTATATCTGACCCTTTTGAAACGAGATTATACAGTAGAATAGTTAAAACAAAAAGACGTGTTAGTGATTATTTAAAAATCAGTCAATGTTTTAGCGAGAATTGGACCGTAACTAAATAGCGTAAAATTGAGCTAATGTAGCCAGGTGTAAGCCTTTGTGCTTTACTTGCTACCTGACAGGCTACTTCCAACATTTACTAACTGCTTCAACATATAGACGAAGTGTCTCGTTGTAAAACCTAGAAGTTAATTGCAGCAATTAGGATAGATAGGGTAATATTTAGTAGGTAAAGTCAATAAAGTTTATGTATAAAAATATGTCCCGATAACATTATAACACATTTTTAAATTTTTTTATTATACTAGGCGAACCATATTTCCGCTGAATAAGGGTCGGTCAGCTGAATATAAAACATACAGCCACTAATATAACACTGTCAATGTTACTCTTGTAACTGCCTGTCAGTCCGAATGTCTATCTGTCTATCCGTCCGTCCGCCCGTCCGCCCACTCTGTCCGTTCGTCAGTGTGTCCGTTGATCCTTCTGTCCATCTGTCCGTCCATCTGTCTATCCGCCCGTCCTTCGGTCTGTCCGCCCGTTTGTCAGTCTGTCCGTCTCTCCGTATCTTCGTCCATCCGTCCATTTGTCCATCTGTTCGTCTGTCCATCTCTGTCTATCTGTCTGTCTTTTTGACTGTTCGTCACTTACACTCCAATTTTCACCCTAAGTCAAACACAACAAACCACTCCCAACTACCACCGTACTCCCTACACTTCATCCCACCCTACCTCATACCCCCCCCACACTCACACACCAGAACCCACCCACTACTCTTATCCAACATAACCACCAACCCACGTAGAAATCCTGAACACAAACAAAATGCAAATAATCTCAAGTATACCGGTAGACGAGTGACCGAGAAAGACAATACTAATCAGTTCATCCACTTCAGACAGAACGAGAGCACTCTTTGATATAGAGCAATATTTTATCACGTGCCTCATATGTGTCGGCATTAGCGTTTGTTGCCATTCAGTGTTTGAGTTTACAGAGATCACAAACTAAAAGGTAATAGATTCTTTCTAAAAAAACGTCAAAAATCTAAAAGTCTTATGTTGGGATTGGTTTCATCCTGTAACTCAGTTTGGGTCTATTTATAAATGAGGGATGAAATTAAAAAATTTTGTCTTGGTCTAAACCAACGTTAAAAACATTATTTGGACTAATTTTAAAACTATTTTTTACTAATTTAACTGCACATTAAACTACAATACAATTTTGTTTCAAAGGAGTGACTTTAAAATTTTTTTCCTCCAACTTGCAAGATAATTCTTTACAGTTTTCAAATGAACGATTTTAAAATTTGCAAATTTTCAAAAGAATTTCAAAGTTCTTGTATTTCAGTTTCTCTTTTAAAAAAAGTGTTATTTTTCTTTTAGTATAACTAGCTATATATTTAACATAAGTAGGCCTATGTATCTTTACGTTCTACACGTATTTCTCAATAATTAGGATCTAATATATGAAGACTAATTTAGTGATGACGTCAGTGTGACAGATAAACGATAAACACACACACAGAGAGAGAGAGAGAGAGAGAGAGAGAGCGAGATAGAGCGAGAGAGAGAGAGAGAGATGAGTTAACACATGTACCTTCATATATAAGGAAGGATTAATTCGATTGCTAATCGATACCTTAAATCAAAATAGCCACTTACAAATTTTGCACGATAAACAAAGCATTAGAAGAAAAACATAAAATAGTTTACAAAAACTGGTTTAAAATAAATGCACTTAATAAAGGAGACTACAACGTAAGTACATAACAAAATTTAAAAATTTGGTAGTTGTATCAATTGTTGCATACTATCGCCACCTACGTTTTTACTTATTTAAACAGTGGTGAAATACTATTCAAGAAAATTTCTGTGTGTTCTTTTCAATGCTTATATGCAATGTATTATTATTTTGAAATTTTTGTTTATTTAAAAAGTTTTTGTTGTTATTAAATGAAGGTGCGTAAATAAAGAAAGACGTGCGCAAGAATCAGCTACGCACCAGAGCTGGGTGAACTCTGGGACTTTCTGCAGTCTCCAGGTAAAACTGAGATTGGAACTCGAAACATTCAGACAAGTAGTCGAGCGCCATCCCACTCTACCAGACCGTACCGCAGCTCATAAAAGTTAGATTAAAGTTAATCAAAAGTTGCAATTTGTATGTTTCAGAATGTAGACTTTAAAAAAAAAAAACTTGATATATGGTATTAAAAAAACATTTTTTTTTTGGTTACACATCTAGGTTATCCGGTGAAATGAAGTTGTTATCCGGTTACCTGAAGTCGTTATCGTGTTAACTGAAGTTGTTATCCAGTTAATTGAAGTGATTATACGGTTATCCTGTGAAGTGAAGAGGTTATCCATTGAAGTGAAGAGGTTATCCGACGAACAACGTGATCCTCGCAATGACTGAAACACTAGCAGGAGGAGATTACGCCGCCATTGTTGGCTATTTCGTTTTGGTCATGGCAGTTGGTGTATGGGTAAGTGGATGTTTTGTCCAAAGTTCAAGGTTGGTGTATGGGTAAGTGGATGTTTTGTACAAAGTTCAAGGTTGGTGTATGGGTAAGTGGATGTTTTGTCCAAAGTTCAAGGTTGGTGTATGGGTAAGTGGATGTTTTGTACAAAGGTTAATGTTGGTGTATCGGTCAGTGGATGTTTTGTACAAAGGTTAATGTTGGTGTATGGGTAAGTGGATGTTTTGTCCAAAGTTCAAGGTTGGTGTATGGGTAAGTGGATGTTTTGTACAAAGGTTAATGTTGGTGTATCGGTCAGTGGATGTTTTGTACAAAGGTTAATGTTGGTGTATGGGTCAGTGGATGTTTTGTCCAAAGGTCAAGGTTGGTGTATGGGTAAGTGGATGTTTTGTCCAAAGGTTAAGGTTGGTGTATGGGTAAGTGGATGTTTGTACAAAGGTCAAGGTTGGTGTATGGGTAAGTGGATGTGTTGTCACAAGGTCAATGTTGGTGTATGGGTAAGTGGATGTTTTGTACAAAGGTTAATGTTGGTGTATGGATAAGTGGATGTTTTGTCCAAAGGTCAAGGTTGGTGTATGGGTAAGTGGATGTGTTGTCACAAGGTCAATGTTGGTGTATGGGTAAGTGGATGTTTTGTCCTAAGGTTAATGTTGGTGTATAGGTAAGTGGATGTATTGTCCAAAGTTTAATGTTGGTGTATGGGTAAGTGGATGTTTTGTCCAAAGGTCAAGGTTGGTGTATGGGTAAGTGGATGTTTTGTCCAAAGGTTAATGTTGGTGTATGGGTAAGTGGATGTTTTGTCCAAAGGTTAATGTTGGTGTATGGGTAAGTGGATGTTTTGTCCAAAGGTCAAGGTTGGTGTATGGGTAAGTGGATGTTTTGTCCAAAGGTCAAGGTTGGTGTATGGGTAAGTGGATGTTTTGTCCAAAGGTTAATGTTGGTGTATGGGTAAGTGGATGTTTTGTCCAAAGGTTAATGTTGGTGTATGGGTAAGTGGATGTTTTGTCCAAAGGTCAAGGTTGGTGTATGGGTAAGTGGATGTTTTGTCCAAAGGTCAAGGTTGGTGTATGGGTAAGTGGATGTTTTGTCCAAAGGTCAAGGTTGGTGTATGGGTAAGTGGATGTTTTGTACAAAGGTTAATGTTGGTGTATGGGTAAGTGGATGTTTTGTCCAAAGGTTAATGTTGGTGTATGGGTAAGTGGATGTTTTGTACAAAGGTTAATGTTGGTGTATGGGTAAGTGGTTATTGTTTTGTTAATTAAATGTGTGACATCAACATATGAAGAGAAAGCGTGGTCAGCACTATGCCTCGCTGTATTTAATTTGCATATCATGAGTCAGGTACTTATAACAGCAGGGTGAACTCTGGGACGTCCCACCGACGCGAGCCCGGGATCCGAACTCACGTCATTCAGTTTAACACTTGCACGATCTACCTTTACCATACTATGTTTTATTTTGTTACTCTTACATAACCGTATGTGTATCTCTCCCTTAAAAGGTCTAAGTTTTATTTTATTTTTAAGTGGTGCAACAGCAATTTTCATGCCTCTAATTTCTAAATCTGGCCCTGACCGTCACATTGTAACGCTATTTTAAAGACCTGTGCTAAAATTACATAACTCAAAAAGAAACACAATCAGATAACATAATTCACATATTCAAACGGTTGTTTGATACATATATTACAAACAAATACTTCATCATTAATGTCTTATTAAGATGAAGTCAAATTAAAGGAGTAAAGACAAGTACTTTTGTTGGATTGTAATAGCGTAATTATAGTGTAACATTTAATTATATATTTCAGTTAATTAAAATCTTTAAACTTATCCATCATACAGTCGACATGCCGACCGAACAGAGACAGCACGGCCGGATATTTTTTGGCCGGAAAAAACATGCACTGGTTTCCGGTAAGTAAATATTAGTCGGATTTTGTTTTACTGTGTCACAAAATGAAAAACATTTTTGAAAATTTTGTTTATGATAAATGTTTCTTTCCTAACGTGATATTTTACTTTCTCTTATCGGGGTGGGGGTATATTTTCGTGTTGCAAATTATCTAACTTGACATTCTGACAAATTTCGCCTTTTAACACCTTCTTGCGTAGAAAAACATCAATTTTGCCTTGTCTCTGTGTGTGTGTGTGTGTGTGTATCTCTGTAAGTGTGTTTGTTTGTTGCTGTCTGTGTGTTAACACAAAAACTTGAGTGTAGTGCCGTTTCAATTAGGTTGATAAAACTCCGTGTGTTCATTTTAGATCCTACACTTAGGTTTCAATCTTTCTTCTTCGTCATTGTTAATCTTAATTTTGAAAGTAGATTTCTCCAACACAAGCAAGCACTAATTGTCAGCATGTTATGCACCTGTGACTCCGATTTCCGGCTGCTTTTCATAGTGGATTAGCTTCCTTAGCCTTTGTCCAACCAAGAACAAACTACAATGCAGCTGTTATTTTGGAGTAATAGATGGCTTGCTGTTCCTAAGTATCGAGCCTCATTTGCCAGTGGGTTCGAATTCGGTAATTTTCACTCGCAGCAACGAGTTTTAAACGGCCGGCCACATTTCTGCTTTTAAAATACTTAAAAGTACATATCGATGTTTCATAGATCTTCAAGGTAATAAAAGTCAAGAGTACATATAGTGACAAAACAACGGAAACGTTGTCTGCTCTGCAGGCTACGGATATGCAGATGTACATATTAATTACCACATTTTAGTTGTATACTGATGTACCTCTTGTAGGTCGGTGCCTCCATCTTTGCCAGCAACATTGGAGCCCCCATGTTCATTGGTCTAGCCGGGACGGCGGCTGCTTCCGGTTTCTCGTGTGCTATTTACGAGTGGCATGTAAGTTTGGGGGGGGGGGGGTAGGGGTGAGTATGTGTAGCTGATATTAGAGTATTAGTGCGCAACTTGTAATTAAGATGTATTTATGAAGTTTGGAATATGATCATATCCTTACAAAAAAACATGATCAATATAACTTATGAAACGCATGTAGACGTTTGAAATTATATTGATTTTTTGCAATTTAACTTTAATAACTTATGTTTAACAAACCACATTTATTGAGATATTTCTCTAAGGACTAGTTACTTACAATATGCCTAGCTAAAATAAACTGTCCATCAATAACCAAAAATGTATTAACGTTTGACATAGACATGCTTGTGATATTCCTTTTTACCGGTTTTATACATTTTTTTTGTCACAATTGTTTACCCAGGCTATCTACCTGCTCATCGCACTAGGCTGGGTCTTTGTTCCTGTCTACGTCTCCAGTGGGGTGAGGACTCTAGTAGTAACAAAATAAAACTATATTGTCGTAATAGGCTTTTACTATCACATACATCAAGTTATATATATATATATATATATATATATATATATATATATATATATATATATATATATATATATATGTTTTATTTTTTAAGGCTTTTACAATGCCGGAGTATCTAAAGAAACGTTTTGGAGGTGTACGACTTAGAATCTACCTCTCCGTGTTCGCCTTTCTGCTGTATATACTGGTCAAAATTTCAGTGAGTTTTTTATCATCTTGCTATAAAATTATTTATTATACCTATATTATATTGGTTGACGTGGTCCAGTGGAAGAGCTCTAGCCTGCTAACTCGGAAGCTGTTGAGTTTGAACCCCAAGTTGGATGAAGCTCTTTAGCTAGGATTAGCAACAATTTAGAAGAGAAAACTTGGAAATCAAAAGAAGTTCAGCGAAGCATTAATATAAATCACTCTGGTTCAGTTTTTCAGACACAATGCCAATCGTAAAAAGTAACGCCTCTATTTGAGCCTACATGTAGTTTAAGAAGAATAAGCCTAATAAATTGGCCACTTATGACTCACTGCCTAGCCTGCGCATTTTTTTACAAGCCGCAATCATACAATCGTCCTCCATGACTAAAAAGCTAATGATGAAAGATGATAATAATTCTACAATTTGAAAAGTTAATAGCCATTATTGCTGCTAAAATTGACGAAATATAAATGGAATTTTACACACATCATATAAACGTAAATCAGAAAATATTATTGTTTTTTGAAGATGACCTTAATAGATTTATACGAACAAAATGTTTGGAAATGTCTACTATTAACATAATTATATACATTTAAGGGCTAAGTGGGTGGAATGGAAAGGGGTTCGAGGTCTTAATGTTTACTTACGTTATAAAAACGTACATTTTAGCCCTAAAAAATTATGTGTATATTGCAACAATGAGTTACAATTTTTTTATAAATACTCTCAATCAACTAGGTGTTTTATTTATTGAAAAGACTAACCCTCAATGTTCGTGTTTTTCAATTGGCCAGACGGAAATGTTTTCCGGTGCTATTTTCATGCAACAAATGCTGGGCTGGAACTTATATGCTTGTGTGGCTATAATTCTGTTGATCACTGGAGTCTACACGGTCGCAGGTATGTACGTCTGGTTATCTGTTGGTATGTACGTCTGGTTATCTGTTGGTATGTACGTCTGGTTATCTGTTGGTATGTGTGTCTGGTTATCTGTTGGTATGTGTGTCTGGTCATTTAACTGTTGATACATATTTTTGCCCGAATGGGACAATTGCACGAATGGGACAAATGTACGAATGGGACAAATGTACGAATGGGACAAATGTACGAATGGGACAAATGTACGAATGGGACAAATGTACGAATGGGACAAATGTACGAATGTGCACTTGCCCGAATCGGACAAATGTTTTTCGGGAATCAGTCGCAGCACCGTAAAAAAATGTGGTTTTTTTTTTATAGTCAGACTTGTTTTTATATCTAGCAACGTTGGTGCTCTGATGTTCATTAGCAACTTTCTCGAGCGGGAGTCAGGGACGCTTCAAAACTGGATGGACTAAAGGACACACTATGGCCTCAAGCCCGATATTCGAACTCGAAGCTTTTGGGTTAGCAGCCCTGGGCTCTAACATCCGACCATACCGTTACATACGTTATAAACAATGCAACCGAAAATACAATCGGTTTTAGAAAATATAATCTAAAAAGGCTTTAAAAAAAGAACGACATAGGCTAAATGAATTATTTATATTTGTCCCTAAAAGAGATGTTTACATTTTCATGTTATCTATGTATGCTTTTGAAAACTATACCTTAAACTGTTTATGTGTTGTGAGTACCTACGTTAGTTTCTTCTTGAAGAAATTCAAAAAGCGCCTCTTCCTCTCCAGGCGGGCTGACAGCTGTCATCTACACAGATACACTACAAGCTGTTATTTTACTTATTGGAGCCACCATCTTAGCCATTATTGGTAAGTAAAGATAATCCCAACTAGCTGCATTTCTTTTTAAATCATGAGAGGCTTCAACCTATTTTATTTAACAGCCAGATGCAATTTCATTTCTCATATGTTTTTCTGTACAATTTCAAACGTGTATTTATGTATTGGACTTATCATTCCTGGGACCAAAATTAACAATATTATTTTAACCTGCTATTAAGTTACAACATCATCATGGGGCAGGTGAAGTAGAGTTATTTTGTTTCAGTGACCTCTGTATATAAATGGGTAGTTTTGTTAAAACTATACCCATCCGTTTTTCCTAACGTGAGTTAGGTATCTATTAAAAGCTGAGCGGACTCGTCGACGTTCTACATTTTTTTCGAGCCTGGGGTCCGAACTCAAGACTTTTGTGTTAGCAGTCATAAATTCTGCTATTTGACCATAGTCCATTCTTATTTGTATCTCTATAATAATAGTATTTAACACAATTCTTTAATGACCTTGTGTAAACTACTTTTATGCGTCTAAATATTCATGAAAAAAATATTGTTTTTGCTTGAATCTTGACTGACCAGTGCTGGTGGATGTGGGTGGTTGGTACCAGTTTATGGCCAAATACGCTCACGCGGCGTCCAACCTGACGCTGAGTAGCCCAGGGAATTACACGTGCGGACTGCCCAGACAGGGTGAGTACATACGTAATGTGTACGAGAAATTACAGAGTAGTAAACACATTAACATGTTGCGTTTATCAACAGCGTGCTCAAACAATGACACGTACACACATGCACACAAACTCGCAAGAACACGGTGCTAGGAATGAATAGAAACACACGTGCATATAAGATATGTCTGAAATTCCCAGATATTTGAACCCAGAATGTAATTTATATTATTTTGGTAATTTACATAACTTTAAACAATTAGATTGTATTTTTGATGTAGCTTGTGTAACACCTGAGCACTTAATTTACATTAAATTTTACATAGTAGAAATGTAATAGGGTCAAGCAGGGTCACTTGTGCTTCTCTCGACATTTAGCTTACATAGCATGATGTTTTAAATGACCTATTTGTTAGGTCTTTTGGGCTACACGATACGGGACGGGCATGACCTGTCTTAGTTTAGGTGTGACTTTTAATTTGTGGGATAAAAGTAAAGTCACTTTCAAACCTATGGGCAAATGTAGATTTAACTGTTTCTTTGACCTCGGTATGCGAGAAGATAGTGTGGTCAGCACTTTGCCCAGCCTTTCACTAACGTTAGTTAGGTACCCATCAGAGCTGGGTGGACTCAGGGACGTTCTACTGACTTGAATCCAAATTCGAACTCGAGACTTTAAAGTTAGCAGAATGTGTTGGAATTAAGTCTGAATAGTTAGTTAAACTAAACATTTACATTTTTCATTGTCTACCTGCGTTCATTCAAACATGTACACAAAATAGTGTCGTACCGTATCAATTGTGTTACTGTTTGGTACACAAAATAGTGTCGTACCGTATCAATTGTGTTACTGTTTGGTACACAAAATAGTGTCGTACCGTATCAATTGTGTTACTGTTTGGTACACAAAATAGTGTCGTACCGTATCAATTGTGTTACTGTTTGGTACACAAAATAGTGTCGTACCGTATCAATTGTGTTACTGTTGGTACACAAAATAGTGTCGTACCATTTTGAGTTATATAACTGTTGGGATTAGTGTTAATGCTATTGGTTGGGTTGATAATAGTGTGAAGATTAAGGTTAGACCAAGGGAATTAATTATGGTAAAGGTAAGGTTAGTAACTAAAGTAATAGTCAGTTGTATTTTGAGTAGGATTTGTTGAGTAGTGTAAAGTAGTTGAAATAACTAACCCGCCAACAAACTGCCCACCCACAGACTACAAGCACATCTGGAGAAACGCTGTGACAGGTGATATCCCGTGGACGGGGGCGGTCTTTGGACTGACTGTCAACGGTCTCAGGAACTGGTGCATGGATCAGGTCATTAGGTTCAAACTGATATCTGTCATACATTAATCACGCATTAAATATATTGAGACGTTGATAAATATTCATCTATGATCATATATATATATATATATATATATATGATCATAGATATATATATATATATATATATATATATATATATATATATATATATATATATACATATATATATATATATATATATATATATATATACATATATATATATATAGGGCCTATATATATATATATATCTATAATATAAGCGGGCTGAGCGTGTGTCAGTCCGTCATCGCTATATATTTTGAAACAATAAAATTAAACATCGCACCATGCTGTGCTTTTCAGTACACCGCAGTGTCTTATTATAAGTAATTGAGTAGGGTTTGTTTATATAACGACATAGAGCTATTTTATAATTGCCACTGTTTTTACTTTTTTGCATAATGTAAAGAAAATATTAAACACACGCACACTGCTAAAACATATTAAAAGAATTAATGTCAAATATAATTTTCGTTTATATTCCCAGAAAAAGTGGATACATTTCAATAACATAATACAAGTACGGTAGAAAAATCAAATTAATTTAACTCTTTTTTCTAATTTTGACAAAGGAGGTAATTTAAAAATACATTAAACTCACGCTAATAAAAAATGGGAATGCAAATATACGTTCGTCATAGAAGGAATTAGTGTTGCAATAATATAATTAGCAAAATGTGAATGCAAATTATTCGGATGTGTAAAAGGAAATTATTGTTAGAAAATTATAATTAGAATGGATTGATAAAAGGCAATCTTTTATTTATTTTATTCACTAAATGTAGGCCATACTGTTTATTACTTATAATTTTTAATCAATTATTCAGCACTATTATAGACGCGTCATCACGTTCATTAGGTGCGCAATGGTTTTAGTTATGAAACTCTATTGTAAATTTTTAAAATTTAAAGTACTGGAAAAAAAATGCGTGAATGGATAAAGTGAAATATTGTAGGTAAAACACGGATATTTTAAATACTGTCTATTATTTATACTGTTTACTAATTATATTCTATCTTTCGGTTTGCGGACAAGCTAGGGGTTTTATAGGAGAGGCGTAGCGAGGGAAGGGGGGCATATGTCCCCGGGTGCCGACCTTAGGGGTCGCCAAAGTGGGTTGGAAAAAATGTGCGAGGGGTGGGTGGTGGAAATCGAAAGTTTTAGGGCGGGGGGGGGGGACAGGGGTGCAAATCGAAAGTTTTAAGGGGGGTGCAAATCACCGGAAAGGGCGCGATTTGGCGCTACGGGCTAGACTGTGAGCAATATGCCTTTATGATTGCATTTAAATTGTGTTTATGTTATGAGTGTTGTGTTTGTTTTTTTGTTTGTATTTTTTTTGCGTTCGTTTCTGTTGTGTTTAGTTTTGTTCTGTTCTGTTCCCAAGTTGGTACATTTAAAAAAGATTTACCGTGGCGGAGCACGGGATGCAGCTAGTATATATATATATATATATATATATATACATTTTTAAACAGACCTGTTTAACGGCATCTCTCTCTCTGTATCTACATATAATACATTTGTATATATATATATATATATATATATATATATATATATATATATATATATATATATATATATATATATATATATATATATATATATATATATATATATATATATATATATATATTTATTTATTTATATATATATACATATACATATATAAATATATATATATATATATATATATATACATATACATACATATATATATATATATATATATATATATATATATTTTTTTTTTTTAAACAGACCTGTTTAACGGCATCTCTCTTTCTCTCTGTATCTGCATATAATACATTTGTATATATATATATATATATGTATATATATATATATATATATATATATATATATATATATATATATATATTTATATATATATATATATATATATATATATGTATATATATATATATATATATATATATATATATATATATATATATATATATATATATATATATATATATATATATATATATATATATATATGAAATTAAATATTTATAAAAATAGAGAGTTAATCACCCCATCGATGTAACAGTAACACACAATAGAAGTATCGACACCTCATTTTCTCAATGCCATTTTGTTGACTGATCAGATCATGGTCCAGCGTTGTCTGTCAGCTAAGAACATCAGCCACAGTAAAGGGGGTTGTATGTTTGCTGCAGTCCTCAAACTGTCACCTTTCTTCCTGTGGATCATACCTGGGATGATCAGCAGAATATATTTTCCAGGTAATAAAGTTTTTCTTTTAATATGTGTAAACTGTTAAATAAATTTTCAGGAAGTGAAGAACTGTTTCATAGTAGAATTGACATGTAAATGTGTAGTGATTTATATTGCACCAGAATCGTACGTTTGTAGACGATTCAATAGCTCATACATCTTAGTTAAGTTAGGTGTTAATCAGTGATATAAGTAGCTTTGTATTTCTTAGTGTATGGGTAAAACACATTGATGTGTTTCCAACACACAAATAATGAAAATAAAATTTCTGTTTGCTTGATAATTTTACAGATTGTGGTTCGGATGTATATGCAAGATGTAGTCATTGAAAAAAAAGCGACTAAATCAATTTTTTTTAAATTATTTTGTATTATGTATTATCAGGTGCATGTTGTTGCGCCTTTTAAAGTTGTATAAGTGTATAATTTACACTACGGATTTGTAAACATATTTAAATTTATTTTAGATTATTTAGTTTATTTTTTTTTAGTTTTTATTTTTTAGTTCACTTGTCTCGATTCATTTATCACTACATATAAATGTGCTAAAGAAAATAGTCGTCTTAAGAACAACAAAATAGATTACTTTGTTTAGAAATATGTATTCGTATTTACGAAAATAGTTTAATTTCAGAAAGGCAGATTTAATTAAAACAGTGCACAATTTGATACATTTAATATAAAAATGTTGTAATCTTTAGTTTTTAATATTGTTATATTAAAATTATTGAACTTGTTGCTAACCCCTCCCCCTCTTTCTCCCCACCCAACTACCCCCTCCCCCTATCTCCCCACCCAATGACCCCCTCCCCCACTATCTCCCCACCAAACTACCCCCCTCCCCCACTATCTCCCCACCCAACTACCCCCCTCCCCCACTATCTCCCCACCCAGACGAGGTAGCCTGTTCCGACCCAGCGACCTGTAAAGCTGTCTGTGGGAATGAAGCCGGATGTTCCAACATTGCTTATCCCCTCTTGGTCCTCAGGAAAATGCCCACAGGTCAGTGTTGAAAAACTGATTGAAACGCTTTAAATTTCTGTACAAAACAAACACAATTTCAATTATAGTTTAGCAACCTCTCAAAATAGTAGACGTATCATAACTTATTCTTTTAAATATTTTAATTTAATTTGTTGATTAGTTTTGTGCATGATCATATAGCCGAGATGCTATACTTAAGTTTACGTTGTTACATGTAAGATTACTCATGTTGATATTCTCAGTTTTTATTTTATTTGTTACAATTTTAAATATATGAAATCTTTCAAATACTTCTACCACGTTTGTTATATGATAGTAAGTTATAAAACAGCTGAAAACAATTTTCGTTGTCACGGAAACCCGAAAAAATATCCGCCATTTGGAATTTTCGGCAGTTTTAGAAACGATAAGGCTTTTATATTTATGTATTTATAGAAATCGAATATCCACTGCTTAAATTTCAGTATAAATAAAAACTTATGTCGCTACAAAGTTTTGATAGAGCTACCGGTTAGAATTCTACACGTTCTGAAAAAAACTGCACTCTTCTTAGCATGTGAACATTTTTTTAATGAGAATATTTACTTATAATTTGTTTCTAATTAACCTATTACAATTCTCTGGTGACAAAAGTTGTATTTTTACATGAAGAAAAATAATTGAAATGTATAATTAATATAAAAAGTAATATGCTTTTTTATGATAAAAATCTACGGTACAATGCATTCTCTCAACAAGAGCTCATGATATTCATCGAGGAAATCATGTGTCATAGTTACCTTATGTTTATATACAAAACTCAATAAGGAAGAACGTAGTGTATCGTTATACACGTGTTTCTGCAGGACTGAAGGGCATCATGCTTGCTGCCCTGCTGTCTGCCCTCATGAGTTCGCTGACCTCCATCTTCAACTCGGCCAGTTCCATGTTCACAATGGACATCTGGACACGGTACAGGAGGAGAGCGTCACAGAAAGAGTTGATGGTCGTTGGTCGAGTCTGTGTTCTGGTCCTGATAGCGTTCAGGTTGGGTTTTGTCTTTTGGATAAATATGGCTATTATATAATGTATTTTTTAAAGGCCCAAGCAAAATAAAAATTCAACAATTCGGCTGTTTTATTATAATTATAGCAATGTGTACAGTTCAATACATAAAGCAATATTTATGTAATCCATTTTAGCACAGTGTTTAATACAGTTTCAGAATAAAATACTAATTTATTAAAGCGCATTAGAATTTACCTGTGCGGGAATATAAACATGTTGAATGCGAAAAAAAAACAATCGTATGTCTTATTTTAATAGGTTTACCCTCAGTCAAATAAATAAGATAATAAAATTAATTTGTCTTAAAGTTCAAAATGGAAGAAAAAAACAGTTTTTTTATTGAGCAATAATCTAATAGTCATAGTTATAAAACCCAAGTCGCAAATTAATAACTCTTTTTTTTAAAGAAGCTCTAGCATTAATTGTTTAGAGTCTAGACGTATACTATTGAAGACAACATTAGCTTGTATTCAATTGCCTTTACTTCCAGTATTGTGTGGATTCCCGTCATCCAGAGTGCTCAAGGAGGACAACTCTGGACATATTTACAAACCATGGCTTCTTGTGTTTCTCCCCCTTTCTGCTGGGTGTTTTTGTTAGCCTTGTTTTGGAAGGGAACAACAGAACAAGTAAAACGCTAATAGCATGTGGAACTTTTCTATTAACATAATCATAAAGTTGTAGACTTATTAAAAATATAAGCAAAAAAATCATACTAAAATAAATCATGCACACAATGACACACGCCAAACGAAAGATTCAACCTTAAAGAAATCTGCTAGAAGGCTGATTTAAAAAAAAAACACAGATAAATTTACTTTATTTTGCTTTACATTCTATGATACTCTTATTCGCTTCTTTTGTGATTGGTATGTTCTTGTTTGTTTAGCTTGTTGGAAAATAAAATATTTTAAACTATTAACAGAAATTAAATGAGTTATAAATGTTAGATAACATTAAGATTTATTCAAATGTTGTACTTTTTAAAAATCCATAAGAGTAATGGATAGACACTGTAAAGACGAACTAAGCAATTGATATATTAAAACGTTTTTGAAAGGTAACATTGATATCAATGTAACATTGCAAGAAGTACATATTTACATCCTGTTTATTGATCTATCACAGGGTGCCTTCTGGGGCCTGGTCATCAGCACGTGCGTGGGTCTTGTCAGGATGGTCTTGGAGTTCGTCTACCCGGCGCCCCTGTGTGGAAGTTTCGAGCCAGATACCAGACCCCTGGTGCTGAGGAAAGTCCATTTTTTTCACTTCGCCATCATCTTGTCCGGTGTCTCTATTATAAGCATCGTGGGGATCTCGCTAATGACGAAGCCCAGACCGCCTGAAAAAGTGGGTGTGGCATTGTTGATTTTTTTTTTATTTATTAGAAATTTTTATAATTGTCATAAAAAACTTAAAATAGGTATTGTGTGGGTAACAACTAAACTGGTATATAAAAGTTAATTCTATGAGTTGTTTTTTTTTTAAATCAATAACCGTTTTCCAGAAAATTCAAAAGTAAAGTATCGTTTCGAACCTGGGGAATATGGGGCATTGTAGTAGAATTCATCTTTAACTATGAACTCGGCATATGAAGGCATAGTGTGGTTAGCATTATGCTAAGCCGCCTTTTAATTTTCCTAAGACGAGCAAGGTACTTATCAGAGATGGATCGACTCAGTACCTAGCCCGGTATCCGAACTTGAGAATTTCGAATTAGCAGAAGTAAGCTCTACTAAACGACCACGCCGTCTCCTCGATCACCAAGAAAATTGTAGAATTTGGTTATCATTTATATATATAAGTTGTATTATAAGCTGATTTTTTTTTACAGTTTAATACATTACTATGAAAATCTAGCAAACAAATATGTTTGTTGTTCTGTAAAACGCTTACAATGTATCACTTGGGTAAAACTATGGGGAAGGATTTCATATATTAAATCGTTCAAATATTTAAGAAAGTGTTTTTGTTCTCTCAGCTTCACCGTGTGACGTGGTGGACACGTAACGACACGACAGACCCGGAGGATTCAGAATCTGAAGTCGAATCTGAAGCGGAAAATGAAGAAAAGTCTCAGTCTAACACTATAGAAACGTTAAACGGTAACAATTTCCATTCTCTTATAAAATAATATTCTGAGAAAATATGTTAGCACATCGCCCAGTGCCATACTGCACTACTTAAGTACTCATACAAGGTGGACAACAAGTTTCTCACAACCAATGGCCAGTGGGCTCTGATTTGATATATCATTGAACGTGTGTTGGATTGATCATCCGTAACTTTGGTATCTTTACAGGCGATTAAAACTGTTACATTTAACAGTATGGCTTGAAACTAAAGATATATATTCATTCTTCCAAACACACACCAACACATAAACACACACACACACACACACACACACACACACACACACATATATATATATATATATATATATATATATATATATATATATATATATATATATATATATATATATATATATATATATATATATATTCTCTTCTCGGATACCTTAGAAAACACCAAGCTGTAAGCGCGTCTTGCAGCCCCCTCTCTTCCTCTCTTGGCATATCCCTACCACCCCCAACCCCACCCCCACAAGGTCTGGTGAGCTGAGGTTCAAGCTAAATGTTTACAATCGTAGAGCCGGGTTTAGTGACGGCTATTAGGGGCAGATAATATAGTTTGAAACGATTTTAAACTTAGGGGAGGTAACTAAGGAGGGTGGGGGTAGTATCGTCCTTAACGACTTACTGATAGTGTTTTAAAGCAAATATTTTCAGTGGCAGCATTGGTACTGTCGAATTCACAAATTATGAATTACTGAAAAGTAGAAAATAAAACAACTAAATAGCGGCATATGATACGCCACGGGTCGGCTCGTATATATATATATATATATATATATATATATATATAATCTAACTTGAATCTCAATTCTAATTTTTACTTTTTTACTGTGGCACTAAGTCCAAAAGTAGTCTGACCTTATATACTATTAGTTCAATTCTCCCTATGCGACCTCAACTCTCCCCAGAATTAGCCGAGCCCAAGAGACGAAGCTTGAGGGTTTATTTTTATAACTGGATCTGTGGCATAGACGACACGCCCAAACCCAAGCTAACGGTGGAGGAGAAACTGATCATCAAGAAAAAAATGAAAGACATCGGCGAGGACCCTAGTTCGAGAAAGATAACCGCGTTTGTTGCTGTTTTCGTAGCTGCCATTACTACATTTTTACTCGGATTTTTCAACTAAATAACGCAAAGACACTATTTATCATGTTGATAAAAAGTTTCGGTAAAACACTCGAGACATTTATGATTGTTATAAATATTTTGGTTTATTTCTTTTGCCATGTCCGTAACATGAGATATTTAGAATGACTCTCGGTTCAGAAATGTTAATAATAGAAATGTCTTTATGTATTGTATTATGTTTTAAATTGTATATCTTACATGTCTGTTCATTGTTGGATTTTTCTTTACTAATTACTTATTTTAATTAATGATATGTATTGTAAATATGCTGATATATAGTATTTAACAAATTAAAGCACAAAATTCAAACTGGAAATAAACAACAAGATGTGGGGGGGGGGGAGCTTCGGGGTGTTGGTACGTAATTTTTTGACGATGTGTGTTAGTGGGAGGTTCAGGCGTGTGACGTCACACTTGTGCATTGTAAAAATAAATTTTAGAAACTGAATTGTATCCGTTATTTGGCGTCTGACCGAGCTCATTCAATATATAAGAAATAAACCGATTTTTGAAAAATAATTCAACTGCATTTTTAGTGGGGAGTTGGGGGGGGGGGTTGTAGGCTGTGTTATGGCTCAGTTATGGATACCGGTCTCTTGGTTACTTAGAAAATTACTTTCATTAATATGTTTTGAAAGTATCACAAGGATATTTTTTATGGACACAACAATGAATGACGTAAATGGTTTTGTCTGAGATCATGTGTCCTGAGATCTTTTGTCCTGAGATAAATTGTCCTTAGTTCATTTGTCCTGAGTTCATTTATCCTGAGACCATTTGGTCCTGTGGTCATTTGTCCTGAGATTATTTTCAAGGAACATTTTTAGACTCGGTGACGTAGGGTTATATAGCGTAGTGCAGCTAGTTAAAAATATAACATTGGCTGAGTTTGTCTAAGTATAGAAAACGCGAAATAATACGTTTTTATGATACAGGCCTAACTACTGGTTTAAAATGATAGTCTTGAATCAAGGATGGTCAATTTGGATGAAATATTTTATCACTCCACGCTGTTTCAATTAAACTGTTGTTTGGAATTGATCTAGAGAAACATTCGTTTAACAAAATGTGCAAAAATCTACAACTAGTATGAACTATTGAACAATCAATCCTTCTATACTATAACGTTAAAATGGACTGTGTTTGAATGTATGTGATGTAATTGTATGTTGATGTAAACCTGTTTGTATGTGCAGACGCAATTTGCACCATAAATTTTCCTTTTCACGTTCGCTTTATATAGCATGTGGCGACTGATGCAGATTTGCAATAATAATTTTTCATTCAGACATGTAACATCGTTTAATGAAAGTGGTTTACATATAAATAAAAAAACTATTTATTTATTTATATTTTTTGAACCCGAAAATCTTGTGTTTTTTTACATGGCGATTCGATGTTCATATGTAAAGTTGGATAGGGATCAGAACAAATAAAGTACAGAGAAATTTCGAAAGTAGAAATTAAACCATTAAAATACATTTATTATCCATCACACACAAAATATTATTTTACCAGACAAAAGTTATACAAATTACTTCCCTTTTTTATGATCAAATAGCTACAAATATACAATTGCATAAGAAAAACAAATTAATGCCCTTTAGTTTGTTTCATATTTGAATAAAGTAAAAAATTGAACAATAAATTATTTATAACCTGAAATTACAGTGTTACCAGGGGCGGAACTGTAGTGCCGCCAGACCCCGCAATGTGGGGGGTGGGGGGGGGGGGCACGCCATTTAGGGGCCCAGAGCCGACCATAATAAAAAAAAAATTATAGTTAAAAAAAAAGTAAATTTTCTTTTATTTTTAACTTGATGGTTGTTTTGTAAAAAGTTACCGTAGCTGCGGTTGGATTATCTTTATTCTATAGACACCACCCCACGCTCTTGCATATTCTTTTTCCCTTTGTTTTTAAACCACAGTGAAAGACGAGTCTTTCTCCTTCAAATAAACTTATCAAAGATAAGCAAATGTTCAAACCACTTCCATGACTTATTTCCCTTTTTTCTAAATAGTCAAATAGGGGTGATCATAAGCTCCTTTAAATTAAAAACCAATTACTTCTCTTAATTATTATTTTCTTATAAGTAATTACTAAAGAATGACATACTATAAAAAAGAAATGTATTAAATCAATAATATTTAAAAAATTAATAATATAAATACAAAAAAAACAACATAAGAATAAACATAACACGAGACACCAGTACTTATACAAAGCTTTTATGTTTTATATTATTTTGATCGATTAGATGTTAAGAGGGCTTCTATCAAAAATTAATTAAAACTGATTTTATGCACTTACACACATGTGTGGAAGACACCCCTGAGAAAGATGAATATTGAACGGGTAATAAAGACGTTTCGAAAGAAAAAAGCTCTTTATCAAATCAAAAACAAACTGCTATAACAAATATTGAGAAAACTGAGGAACATCATGAAAAACACAGAGCCATATTAAAAACGCTAAAAAAATCATTAGATACCATTAGCCATGATTTCAGTGATTTGGAAAAGACGGGGGCAAATATTGGTCCTGTTCAAATGTTTTCCAATATAGACAACCTCAGTCTTGATCCCGTTGATAAAAATACAGTCACACATTCTCAGCTGTTGCAGTTTTATAAATAGGCCAACAAGGTGCATGAGCCTGCACAGCAAGCAGTTACAGAACACCCTGAAGCGTAAACAGTCTTCCAAATATACCGGAGCAAACAAACCTAAACCCAACATGCTTGCTGCGTGTCTTGCCTCATCACAATCTGTAGAGCATCTTGTGATGGCATTAAATAAAGAATACCCAAAATCAAATTTTACTCTGACACGACCTCTTGGAAGCTGTGGTGTCAAGCAGATTGAATTGGGGCGAACACTAAGAGCAAATGTTGTATTGCGTGGTCTGACAATTGAATGGGTTAAAGTGAAAGGGTTTGACGAAATCTTTCAAACTGAAGATGGCCAGTTTGAAATTTGGTCCAATTCTCGTTATCAAGTTTTCCAAAAGACTACACATCATGCAGTTGCTGCATCTTTGCATTACCATGCACCAGCTTTTCCAGAAATAGCTGTAAAATCATTTGTGCTGTGGCTGGAAAGGTTTGGCACTTTGTTTTCAGCTCCATGTGTGAAGTGTGGCAAATATTTACAGAACAATATGCCACCAACATGGCGGGACTATCGCAGTAGAGAAGCATTTCATGATCTGTGCAGGATGTAAATAGTTCCAAGTTTCCAATATGGGTTGTATTACATACATAGTTCCACTGTGGAATGTATGTATGTACGTATGTTTACATTGGCATGTACATATTTTGTGAGAAAGGAATTAGTGAATAATTGTCCATTTTTATTATTGTCGTCATAAGCTATACATTGTACATAAATGTACTTTGAAAAAAAAATGCACTTACACACATGACCTGATGTTGAAATTTTTTTTAATTTATGTTTTTCAAATCCCGAACAGGCCAGCAATGAGTATCCTATGTACGTATTTTGTTATTGTATATATATATATATATATATATATATATATATATATATATATATATATATATATATATATGTGACGAGCGAACATTTATCCTGCCGACAACGCCAATTGTAACGAGCCAACAGTTACCATGCTCGCAACGCCACATGTAATGAGACCTAATTGCCTGTAGTGCCACGTGTTAACGAGTTTAACCACTCATTCTAGACAACATTGACCACAGTATAGATACTCAAGATGCAGGTTCGCTATTGATCCTTTATTACATGAATCAAGAAATGCTTCATAATAACACAATAAATCAACAGGAATGCTTCTCAATAATAGTCTGAATCAACTGACCCCTAACAGTCCTTCACTAGGCTTTATATAACTGAATCCACATGTCTATAATCCTTCTTAACACAATACGGCTAACCCGTTCTATAACCGACTTGACATAGTCACACAGACTGACTGATCTAAGCGAGCGATGAAAGAGATAAGAGCCTCGAAACGGGAAGAGAGGACGAGTTCTGCCGTCCCCTCCTATTTATGCCTTGAAATCGTAGTCGTACTTGTCTCCATTTCCGTAATCGATACTTGTAATCGATGTATCCGAATACTACTGTCGCAGTTTCTGACGTACCGTCCGATTCACTAAAACATCTGCGTCCCATCCATCAAAGTTGACAGCTCGTCTGAAACTTCTCGTACCGTTTCCCAAAATAGCACGCGTTGCCTTTGAGATTGTTATCAGACCGATCCAATAAGCCACCTGTTATGGTTGCGTCAGATTTCATACTGCGTCGCGGCTTCTCGTTCGTTATCATTTGTAACTGGTAGTTAGGCCTACCCCAGTTACATATATATATATATATATATATATATATATATATATATATATATATATATATATATATATATATATATAGGCCTATATAATATATATAGCGGGGGCTAAAAAAAAAATTTTGCGGGGTGGCCCTTTTTCTCTAGTTCTACCACTGAGTGTTACTAATTATTTTAGCATACAAGTCGTTCATTAATGTCGCCACTCTCCAGGTAAGGGGGTAGATTGGGACTCATAGACAACTTCAGCTTATCGCTTAACTCCCCTGTCCTGTATAAATTATCTTTTTCGAAAGCTCCAATTTTAGCATGCTTTTCTTTTTAGAATTGCTTCCATAGTATTTGTCCATCCAAAACAAACTACAAAGCTGCAGATGTTTAAACTTTGGAGTTGTCTCTTCTAGATTATCCAGTGTTCGAACTCGGGATTTTCTATTTCACTAACCATGAGCTTAACCAATCTTACACATCTGTTCATCTTTATATTTATGTTGGCTAGACCAGGCCTTGTTTATTATTACACAATGTATTAAGGTAGTCGGTATTTGAATTGATCAAGCCGTAAAAACCGTTGCAGTTAAAGACAAGCTGTGGATGAATTAGCGGTGGATTAAACACATTACTCATAGCCCACCTGTGGTCAAACCACATAGGCCTACAGACAAACACTTTAGGGTCAAAACAACTGTGATCACAACTACGTGTACCGTCATTTTAATGTTTTTCTACACAAACACTCGTTCTAAACAAGGTAATTATGTATAATTTAAGCAGAACACGCGAGTTAAGCGGTACGCGTCAGTGGTTTATGAGAAAAGAAAAACAACATCGACACAAATGATCTGCCTCACTCGTTACTGTCAGATTAGAATTGTGTTTAATAGTGTTTAAGAGTGTTTAATAGTGTTGAATAGTGTTCAGGTTAAGCTAATTTAGTTCACTCATGGACCCAGTTAATACAATTACATCTGTT